CATGGGGGGGCTGGGGAGGGAGGGAAGGGGAGGAAGAGTTGGAGGGAGGCTGTGAAGAAGTCGTGAGGTGACGGCAGTGCGGAGAGCGGCAAAATTCGGATGGCCGAGTCGGTGATGTAGGAGAACAGCGGGGTGGGAGAGATGGTCGGAGGTGGAGGGGATTGGAATGAGTGAGGAAGGGATGGAGAAGTGGGGAGGAGACGGAGTGGGAGGAGAGGGAGGGAGATGGGGAGGGCTGGTGGAGGTACCCGCACGAGTGGTAACATGGCAGGAGGATGGCCACGGAGTGCGGAGAGTGTAGAGGCGAGTGCGAGGGCAGAGGGGTATGCGGAGGAGGAAGCGGCCGGAGGCAGTGTGGTAAAGGTCACAGTAGGTGGCATTACCAGGATAGACGGCAGTGATACCTGCACCTTGGATTTCACGGTGGGAGAGGAGGTTGTTTCGGAGAGTGGGGATGTGGAGACCAGTTACCTTGCCAGAGGGGAAGAGTGAACAGGGGAGAGTGGAGAGGTGTGTGCATGGGATGGTGAAGCTGCTGTCAGCACCGTGAACTTGAGTGGGAGGGGAGAGGGGTGTGAGTGTACCAGCGTCTTTGAGGGCGGTCTCAGTGGCCCCACTGTCAAGGACAAAGTCCAGAGTGGGTGAGGAGGAGGAGGAAGACACTGAGTACTGGAAAGTGGTTTCATTAATGTTGGATGGGTACATGGAAGGAAGAGAGGGCGAAATAGCTATGTTGCCAAGGAAGCTCTCGTGAGTGAGAGGGGTGGCAGTGCTACTGGGGGGGGGGTGGGGCACCCCAAAGGGGGGCAGGTGAGGCTTGAGCGGCCATGGCTGCTGTGCCAAAGTTCAACTGCTGCTGCGGCCAGGGAGGAGGGCTGGGTCCCCACTGTGGCTGGGGTCCTGACCCCCATGGGTGCTGCGGCGGCTGTGGCTGCTGCTGCTGCTGCGGCTGAGGCTGAAACAGCTGCTGTAACTGCTGCTGCTGCTGCTGCTGCTGCTGCTGCTGCTGCTGGAGGTGCTGCTGCTGGAGGTTGAGGAAGGGTGTGGGGGGAGCAAGGAGGCGGAGGTGGGCTGGGAGGTAGGCTGGATTGGTTTGGATATCGGTGGGGGAGGGGCGTGGGGAGATGTTGCCCCACTTTGGAGGAGTGCCAACGTTACCCCGCGCGTACCAGGCATCGTCGAGAGCCTTGAAGCACGTGCCAGGGGGATGGTTGGTCTGTCCGCAGGGAGTTCCAGCCCGAGGACCATAGCGGCGGACATAGGTGCAGGGAGGAAGCGTGCCAGGGCGACTCCCGCGACTTGCAGTGGGTCCACCCGAAGTGGTGGTGCCGTGCTCATCCCCAGTGGTGCCACCACGGTTGTTGCTGCTTCCCGAACCACCACCTCCCTTGCCCCCACCTCCTCCTTTGCCGTTGTTCTTTCCCTGCTTGCGAGGCTGGGTAGCGTTGAGGGAGGAGGAGGTGGGTTGGGAGGAGGCGAGGTTGACGATGGGTGTACGGAGTTTAACTTCGGTGTCTATGATCCACTGTTCAACGGAGGCGAGACCGGCCATGGGATTGGCTTCGGTAAAGGCGTGGAGGCGGGATTCGTAGTCTGGGGTGAGGTTAAAGAGGAGGCGGTGGATTTGAAGAGGTTCGGAGAGGCCGGCCTGGCGGGCTTCGAGGCGATCAGCTACCTCGCGCATGCGTCCGACGTAGTCGACTGCTCCGTCACAGGTGGCGAGGGTGATGGAAAAATACTCTTGGAAGAGGATGCCGACGGAGCTGATGTCGCGGCGCTCAAACATGGCATGGAGTTCTGCCCAGATGACCGAGGCACGGAGTTCCCGAGCCTGGAAGCGACGCATGAGGGAGTCAGGGAGAGCTCCAAGGAGAACGGTGCAGGCACGGGTGTCAGCAGCTGTCCAGGCGATGAGTCTGGGGGTGAAGTCAGCCATGTCGACCTTGTATTTGGCGACGACCTCGAGGTGAGCGTCGCGACCAGCAACCGCCTGATCATAGGCCTCAACTGCAGCATCGTACTCGGCTTTGCGGAGGAGGTATTCACGGTGGCGTAGGATAAAATCAGCATCCGCAGTGGCTTGGTCGGGGGTGATCTGAAGATCGGGTTCACGAGGAGGGTCGCCAGGAGTAGGAGGGAGAGGAGGAGTCTCGCCGGGGTGGGAAGGTTCGGTGGGGGGGAGGGCATGGGGGCGGCGGAGGATGACGTCAAGGACACGGTAGGGGGGAACCCATGCGTCGGAGAGAACGCGTCGGATGCTGCCGACGAAGGAGTGCCAGTTGACTGCGGACTTGTCCGCGGCGAGCTGGAGCTTATCAATGGAGGACGTATCAATAGGAGGGGGGGGGGGGCGGGGGAAGGTGCGGCGGTAGCCATAAAGGATGGCCGCGGGGGGGACCCGCAGTGGTCACGGAGGAGAGGGAGGTGAGGCGGCGACGAGGCCGCAGAGGGGAGCGGCGCGGACGGCGGCGGCTAGTGGGGCCGCGGTGGCGTTGGCGCGGAGGCGGCGACGAGGCCGTGAGGGGAGCGGTGCTGGTGGCGGCGGCTGATGAGGCCGCGGCGGCGCTAGCGTGGAGGCGGCGATGGGGCCGCGGAGAGGCGCAGGCGGCGGCGGCACCTGGCGCAGCCGCGGCGGTACAAGCGCGGAGGCGGCGACAAGGCCGCGGGAGGGAGCGGCGCGAGCGGCGGCGGCTGGCGAAGCCGCGGCAGTATAGGCGCGGAAGCGGCGACAAGGCCGCGGGAGGGAGCGGCGCGAGCGGCGGCGGCTGGCGAAGCCGCGGCAGTGCCGGCGCGAAAGCGGCGACGGGGTCGCGGGAGGGAGCGGCGCGAGCGGCGGCGGCTGGCGAAGCCGCGGCAGTGCAGGCGCGGAGGCGGCGACGAGGCCGCGAGAGGGAGCGGCGCGAACTGCGGCGCTGGCGAGGCCGCGGCAGTGCAGGCGCGGAAGCGGCGACAAGGCCGCGGGAGGGAGCGGCGCGAGCGGCGGCGGCTGGCGAAGCCGCGGCAGTGCCGGCGCGGAAGCGGCGACGGGGTCGCGGGAGGGAGCGGCGCGAGCGGCGGCGGCTGGCGAAGCCGCGGCAGTGCAGGCGCGGAGGCGGCGACGAGGCCGCGAGAGGGAGCGGCGCGAACTGCGGCGCTGGCGAGGCCGCGGCAGCGTAGGCGCGGGGGCGGCAACGAGGCCGCGGGAGGGAGCGGCGCGGACGGCGGCGGCTGGCGAGGCCGCGGCAGTGCAGGCGCGGAAGCGGCGACGGGGTCGCGGGAGGGAGCGGCGCGAGCGGCGGCGGCTGGCGCGGAGGCGGCGACGAGGCCGCGGAAGGGAGCGGCGGCGGCGACGGCGGCTGGTGGAGCCGCAGTGGCGTTGGCGCGGAGGCGGCGTCGAGGCCGCGGAATGGGGTGGGCGGTGGCGGTCGGCGGGACCGCGACAAGGCGAGCGCGGAAGCGGCGGTGGGGCCGCGAGCCGTGATGGCGTGGGAGGCCGTGGGGCTGCGAGGAAGGGAGTGCTTGAGGAGAGGGGGAGGGTGGCGAGATAGCCGCGGAAAAATGAGAAAGGAGGCCGGGGGTTGCGGCGGCCTTTGGAAAAAAAGGAGCATAGGCCTAGGATTTTTAAGAGCTCTATACCATGTGAGAAGAAAAGTTAGAAGAGAAGTTGATGGATTGATTGAAAAGGATGGGGGGTTTACATAGGAGATGGGTTGGAAACTAGCCTAGGTGAACATTATTGGACCCCAACCAAGGAGTTGGGTTGGGAGATTATTGGTGGGGTCCAATAATGTTGGCCAAGTTGGAGTTGGGCCAACATTATTGGAGGGGACCAATAATTCTACCCATCCCAACCCTTGGGGTCCAATAATTGGACCAAGGTTGGGTTTCCAACCTACAAATTGGGTAACCCCTGCTTGTACACCCAAACTAAGTTTGGGTGCTTATCTCTAGCCTATCCTATAGCATATATGCAGGTTACAAGAGAGGAGATATTCTAACAGGAATCATGCGCAGCAATGGCGACATGGAATCATGCGCAGCAATGGCGACATGGAATCATGCGCAGCAATGGCGACATGGAATCATGCGCAGCAATGGCGAGATGGAATCATGCGCAGCAATGGCGACATGGAATCATGCGCAGCAATGGCGACATGGAATCATGCGCAGCAATGGCGACATGGAATCATGCGCAGCAATGGCGACATGGAATCATGCGCAGCAATGGCGACATGGAATCATGCGCAGCAATGGCGACATGGAATCATGCGCAGCAATGGCGACATGGAATCATGCGCAGCAATGGCGACATGGAATCATGCGCAGCAATGGCGACATGGAATCATGCGCAGCAATGGCGAGATGGAATCATGCGCAGCAATGGCGACATGGAATCATGCGCAGCAATGGCGACATGGAATCATGCGCAGCAATGGCGACATGGAATCATGCGCAGCAATGGCGACATGGAATCATGCGCAGCAATGGCGACATGGAATCATGCGCAGCAATGGCGACATGGAATCATGCACAGCAATGGCGACATGGAATCATGCGCAGCAATGGCGAGATGGAATCATGCGCAGCAATGGCGACATGGAATCATGCGCAGCAATGGCGAGATGGAATCATGCGCAGCAATGGCGACATGGAATCATGCGCAGCAATGGCGACATGGAATCATGCGCAGCAATGGCGACATGGAATCATGCGCAGCAATGGCGACATGGAATCATGCGCAGCAATGGCGACATGGAATCATGCGCAGCAATGGCGGAAGCAGCATGCACGGGAGGAGAGGTTGAAAGTGCGGAGGAGCGTGCAGGCAGTTGAAAGTGCGGTTATGAGGAGCGTGCAGGCAGCTCTGATGAGATGGTCGGACTCTACAAGGCTGGCTGAGTGGAGCAACCCAAGCTGGGGTGGTCTTCGGGTGACGCCCACGAAATGTACACCCGATCATGACAAATGGCCATAACTTCACACAAAGGGAAAGCACGCTGACCAGGTCAAAGAGAGCTGACCAGGTCAAAGAGAGCAAAGTTATAGTCGTTGAACATGACGGCGATCCGACCGCAGCTGCTGGAGTTGACGAGCGTGGGGGCGAATCTGAGCCGTCGGATGGCCCCTCGGTTGAGCGCGTGCGTGCCCGCTGCCCCCGACGCCACGTCCCACCACCGCAGCACCCCCGCCTTGTCCCCCAGCGCCTGCCGGGCCATGGTGGGGGGCAGGGAAGTGGGGGAGGCGAGGGTAAGGGGAAGGTTGGGGGGAAGAGGACGGGGGGAGAGGGGGGAAGAGAAGGTGGGGGAAGAGGGTGGTTAAGAGAGTTGGGAGACGAAGGGAATATATGGAGAGGGCGAGGTGGCGCAAGTTCCACGTGTTCAACTAGTCTCTCGCGTTGTAATGTGATGAATATGGTGTGCCATGCACTCACGACGACGGGCGTGCGGTACGCCATGCATGCACTCACGACGACGGGCGTGCGGTACGCCATGCATGCACTCACGACGACGGGCGTGCGGTACGCCATGCATGCACTCACGACGACGGGCGTGCGGTACGCCATGCATGCACTCACGACGACGGGCGTGCGGTACGCCATGCATGCACTCACGACGACGGGCGTGCGGTACGCCATGCATGCACTCACGACGACGGGCGTGCGGTACGCCATGCATGCACTCACGACGACGGGCGTGCGGTACGCCATGCATGCACTCACGACGACGGGCGTGCGGTACGCCATGCATGCACTCACGACGACGGGCGTGCGGTACGCCATGCATGCACTCACGACGACGGGCGTGCGGTACGCCATGCATGCACTCACGACGACGGGCGTGCGGTACGCCATGCATGCACTCACGACGACGGGCGTGCGGTACGCCATGCATGCACTCACGACGACGGGCGTGCGGTACGCACTCACAACGACGGGCGTGCGGTACGCCATGCATGCACTCACAACGACGGGCGTGCGGTACGCCATGCATGCACTCACAACGACGGGCGTGCGGTACGCCATGCATGCACTCACAACGACGGGCGTGCGGTACGCCATGCATGCACTCACAACGACGGGCGTGCGGTACGCCATGCATGCACTCACAACGACGGGCGTGCGGTACGCCATGCATGCACTCACAACGACGGGCGTGCGGTACGCCATGCATGCACTCACAACGACGGGCGTGCGGTACGCCATGCATGCACTCACAACGACGGGCGTGCGGTACGCCATGCATGCACTCACAACGACGGGCGTGCGGTACGCCATGCATGCACTCACAACGACGGGCGTGCGGTACGCCATGCATGCACTCACAACGACGGGCGTGCGGTACGCCATGGCTGTGACCAGCACGTCCACCGCCACGAACGATGCCGACGGCCACTTGGGCCTGCTCCGCCCCGCCATGCACAGTGGTGTGGTGTGCAGGGGTGTGCAGGTGCAGGGGAGGGTGGGGGCGGAAAAGGCGGCATAGAGAGGCGGACAGGAAAGGGCGCAGAGCAGACAACAAGGGCCTGGATACAGCGGACTGGCGTGCATTTCCAACACCACACTCTTGCCAAAGGATGAGATGTGAGGTATGGCATGTGGTGTGGGGGATGCGTGTGGGGGATGGCATGTGGGGGATGGCATGTGGGGATGCATGTGGGATGCATGTGGGATGCATGTGGGATGCATGTGGGGATGCATGTGGGGATGCATGTTGGGGGATGGCATGTTGACGCTGTGTAGAGGAAGGGGAAGCACGGAGCTCCACATAGAAGAGAGGTGCCCTGCCGTGGGGATTTCTCACACAATTGCCACACAACTCGAGCACTCACAGCGACCTGCTCGCAATAACATGGGGTAACGACCCAATGGGTTTCAGTGCTTGCCCTTGAGACTTGTGAACAGGGGCACGCACCGGAAGTCGCGCACGCGCTTGCCGCGCAGCTCAAAGACACCCAGCGAGCCGCTGACGAGCGCGAAGGCGAACGACTCGATGGGGTCTGATGCCGACCGCGGCGTGGCTGCCAGCAGCGCCGCTGACGTGGGCGACGCTGGGAAGTCGTCGTCTGGCGGTGGGGGACAGTGGGAGGGTGATGGGAGGGGGTGTGATGCGAGGAGATGCAGCGGGGCAGTGGAGATGGAGGCGAGACGTGGCATTTGGTTGCACAAGTGCTTACCGCACTTGGTAGAGAATGAGCAACGAGCAGCAGCACAAGGTACTCTGCACTATAGTGGCTCAAACACTGGTATGTGCAGCACTGCAACGCAGCATACACTGCAGTGAGAACATGACAGTATTGTGAACGCCTGTTTCATTTCGCCATGCATGCCCAACCTCGCAGTGCCCTGCACACATCAACCCACCCTGCACTAATCACCCACCGTGAACCCATGAGCGCACCGTGCATGTGGCGCTGCGTGGCGGAGTGTGCATCGAGCGCAGTGGGGCTGTGCACGGGCGGCAGCGCCCACTCCATCACCGTGAACGGCAGCGCCAGCGAGCGCAGCTGGTGTGGGGGAAGGAGGAAAGGAGGAGCCAGGGAAGCAACGTATAACCTGTGAGAACTCTTAACAGTCATTGAAGCATAATTCAGCAGCAGCAAGTGCAGGTTGACGGAGGGAAGAGGAGGCAAGGAGGAAACGAACTCAACGTGCCAACGCAAAAGAGCGCGGCATCTCACCATCTGAGGCGTGCGAGTCATGGCCCACACTTCAGCCGGCGCATCGCGGAAGAGGATGAGTAAGTACCTGACCACACATGACACCACGCACACGCGATGAGTGGGGTGGTGTGTGTGCATGAGAAATGTCGCACAAGAAGCAAGGTGAAAGAAGGGGTAGAGCAGTGCGGTGAGCTCAAGGCGGCACATGAAGCAAGAGTGGCCAATGCAGACTCAAATGGAGCAACCAGGTGAAGGCCACTTAGTAGACGGCGGGAGTGACGTGGCAAGGATGGGAGTGATGTGGAAGTGCGTGGGAGTGAAGTGGCGTCACCTGCCGGAGGGCGAGGCGCGAAGGCCGCGCATGGGCGACTTGTCGGGCTGGTGCAGGTGGCGGAAGGGGCGAGACTGGCCGCTGCGGATGCACGTGACCACCACCCTGTTCTCGTACCCCCCCGCCTTCGCCTGGGGGGCATGTGCCAGGGGGGAGGTGAGCAGGGGGCGACGCAGTGTGTGATGTTATGTGCAGGGCAGGCGATGGAGACCACTTGACCCACGCAAAGCATCCCCACCTCCTTGCACTCACCCACATCCCCACACTCCTCCACACCCTTCCACGCCCCCTCACCCCTCCCCTGTCTCCCCTCTGTCTCCGCATGCACGCACCTCTTGGAAGGAGAAGGAGACGAGGCGGGTGTTGCCGAGCCAGCGCACGCCTCGCACCATGGAGGGGTGCAGCAGGAACGACGCGGAGATGGCATGCACCGCCGTGTCCACCAGCTCCACACTGCCCTCCTGCGTCGCCACCGCCACCAGCGGCACCGCTGCTGCTGCCAGTGACCCAGTCGCCGTGCTCAGACCTGCTCGTGGGCAGCAGGGCACGCCGTGTGCGGGGCGAGGGGTAAGGTGGAGACATGGGGATGTGATGCGAGGGAGGGGCAATGTTTTTTGGGAGAGACATCAGGTGTCCACGAGGGTGAGGATGTGAGTGCACCCACCACAGGTGGTGTGCGGGGCAAGGGATGGCGGTGGTGCGGGCATGATGCGGGCGAGAAATGCCAACTGGCATCCATGGCAGGTGAGCAAGTGAGGTGAGAGGCGCGCAGCCAGTGGAGAGGGATAGCACGCACGCACTGTGCAAGGGGTGGGGCAGCACGCACCTGGGACGCAGGAGAAGAGGGAAGGAGCGGGCACGGAGAGAGTGGTGGGCGCGGAGGAGAAGCCGTGGAACATGCCCAGCAGCTCCAACTGGCACCACGGCACGGCACACATACACACAGGGAGAGGGGGGAGCCATGGGAGGGATGGGGGCATGTGTGGTATGGAGAGGCAGAGAGGCACGGAAGGGCATGGAGTGGCGGGGTGCTTGAGGCAGCTCAATCACCCTGCTTGCACTGCTGCCTTGCTGCGACATGTCTCAACCCTCCTTGCCCCAACCCCTCTGCAATGCTACCTGCCTTGCACCGCACAGCACGCACCTTCATGGCCACCTCCACGCCGTCACCCATCGCACTCGCCCCCTCGCCACCACCTGCCTCTCCGCCCCCTCCACCCCCCCCACTCCCCCGACCGCCCCTCGCACCACCCTCCCCACCATCCCCTTTCTCGCCATCCGCCGCTCCCCCCACCCCCGCCTTGCCCCCCGGCACGGGGGCAGTGCTAGCGAGCCAGTGCCAGAGCTTGTTGTCGTCGCTGACACACACCACCTGGCAGCTGCTGACGCCATGTGCGCTCACGCCCGCCGCCACGCCTCCCCCCAGGCTGCCGTTGGGGCGAGGGGTGGTGGCGGGCACGGCCTGCAGCACCAGCTGTGCCTCGCGGAACGGCTGCGGCCACAGCACCGCCGCCAGCACGCCCGGGGACGGCGCTGCACTGCCGGGGAGGGGCACCAGCGGCTCCACTGTGCGGATCATGTACAGCTGGCGGCCTCTGATTGGGGGAGGTGGGAAGGGGAAGGGATTGGGTACGGTGTGCTGGGTTGGGGAAAGTAATGGGGTGATGGAACAAGGATTGGGTGTTGCACTGTTAGAAAGTGCTTGGCTTGGTTGTGTCACTCACGGCTTCAATTTCCCTATCCGCATTCCCCCATGCCCATTCCCCCATGCCCATACACCCGTGCCCATTCCCCGCTAACCATTTCCCCATGCTCATCCTCTCATGTTCATCCCCCCCCCCCCCTTGAGCGTACGGGCGGCGCTGCCACATGGAGAGTTTGCCGTCAGCATGGAGGCAGTAGAGCACGTCGCTGGACGGCGGCAGCAGCAGCCGCGTGAGGCGCGCCACGCTGCGCGGCACGGAGGAGGACGCCACGGCGCACCCGAAGTGCAGGTCGAAGCACACGATGTCCCGCGGCAGCACCGCGTACAGCAGGTCGCGCGTGTGCGGCGCGAACGCACACGCCACCACCCATGCTGCCCCCCCTCCCCCTCCCCCTCCCCCTCCCCCTCCCCCTCCCCCTCCCCCTCCCCCTCCCCCTCCCCCTCCCCCTCCCCCTCCCCCTCCCCCTCCCCCTCCCCCCCAAGCGGGCTCTGGCAGGGGCAGCTGCAGCGTGGTGGTTTTGATGCTCACGCCCCGCTCCTTGCCCGCTCCCCCCCCGTTGCCCCCGCTTCCCCCGCTCCCCCCCGCGCCCCCCTTGCCCTGCGCGCCCAGGTCGACCTGCAGTGCGAGCACGAGGCCGCGCGCGCCGTGCACGCACAGGCGCCGCGGGTCGTGGGGGTCGAGCGCCAGCGACACCAGCAGCTCGCCCGTTGGCGACGCCGACCCGTCGTACCGCCAGATCACACGTGGCGTCGCCGTGGCGGCGGCGGCGGGCGAGGAGGAGGCGGCGGAGGAGGAGGAGAGGTCCCAGACGACGGCGGCGCAGCTGGCGTGCAGCACAGCCAGCAGCCACAGCCGCCCCATCACCCACTCCACCGCGTCCACCGACCCCAAAGCCCCGCCACCCCCGCTCCCGCCCGCGCCTCCCCCTCCCCCCGCCGCCCCTCCCGCGCGGTCGGGCAGCAGCCAGCGGTCGACCTCCTCGCGCACGACCTCCCAGAGCGCCACGCGCCCCGCGCGGTCGCCCGCGGCGAGCTGCAGGCTGGAGAGGTGCGCGAGGTCGCGGTCCAGCCCGCCCGGCTTGAACCGCGCCGCCGTCACCGGCACCACCACGCCCGCCGTCTCCGCCGCGCCGCCCCCCGAGCGGTCGAGGGGCGGCGGCGGCGCGACGAGCGTGTGGACGAGCTGCATGCTGGCGAGGTCGACGACGCTGATGGCGGCGCCGCTGCTGAACGCCGCCAGGCCCTGCGGGCTGCAGTCGAGCGCGCTCACGCCGTCCACCACCGGCCCCGCCAGCGCGCCCGGCACCGCCGCGGGCGCCGCCGCCGCAGACGCGTCCATCACCATCGCGGTGGGGTCGGCGCGGTGGGATGGATGCTACAAATGCAATGCGGAGCGGCTAGAAAGCATACACGCGTTTATTTCAGGTAGTTAGCTAGTAACTTACGATTATGATGGAGGGGAAAAATAGCTCTTTTGGAAAGAAAAATGGCAGTGACAAAGGTACTATGAATGAACTGGGAGGCTGCAATGGGCAAATTCGGTGAGGCTGGTTGGGAGGGATAGACTCTGTCCGTACTCGATAGTGCCGGCGGTTGAAACTCGTTGTACCTTTTGCTGGTTTGTCCATATAGCTACATCAAAACCCGTGGGTCAAGAAAGCCAAAATTGGTTCATCCTTCCTAAGGTTGGTTGGGTGTTACCAGGTCGTCTTCAATCAGCCAGTTGGGTTTCATCTCACAATTTAATCGCCCAACACCAACCTGAGCAGACATGTGAACACAGGGGAGAGAAACTTGTCCCAAAACGCCTGAGAATATTCCCGAGTTCTAAGACCCACTATTAGACGCCCTCAACTAGCCTAGTACCGGTATACCGCATTGCACGCGCGCGCGATTTTCGCCCTCCAAAAGGTTGGCATGTGAAACCGCTATATAAACAAACATTGCCGGATAATATGGAAGGAATTTAGCATATTTGGCATTGTCGCTCTTGCTTAGGAACCATCAGGCCGAACCTGCGGAGTGTGCGCCTTCTACAATCTAAGGCGCTAGGGGATCGGAAGACGTTACACGAAGCTTGCTGCCGTTCGCGAAATACACCTGCAGAAACGAGTCATAGGTGAAATGCATGGAAAGGACACACAACAAGGGCCGCACCCATTTCTCCTTGTCAAATACACCTCGCGCGTATCATAGTGCAAATGGGCCGTCACAATCGCCACGCCACAGCCGCACTCACGCTTTCGCCTCACCACATAAGTGTTGTCGCGGTTAGGGTTACCGCATTTGGGTGACCGAGACGCATTGGCCGCTCATAGTTTTTGCCTCTCGCCAAGGTTGGACCTCATTGGGCTTGTAACGAGCCTTCTCGACCATCTGTGGGGGTCTCTCAACCCGTGGCTTGAGACCCGCCCCAGTTTTTGCAGAATCTGCGAAACCTCCCTCGCTCGTCGGTAACTCGTTCGCCGCCGGCGGCACCTCTGGCATTCTCCTGTCAAATTATATATGTGTTACATATGTTACTGCATAATAAAATGTAGGCTTTAGTGGGGTAGCTAATGTAGGGTATAGGTTTTGTTACTTGTACCCAACTTTCTCGATAGTGCAACCATCCCTACCAACCTACTCTAACATGTTTTTAAGAGCACTTAGGTCTTAGGACCTAATTTCCTAGTGGGCCCACCGTTAACTTTCATGTTTTTAGGGTTTCCCCTGCCTGTCGAGCTGCCCCACTCGTCGCGCCGCCCTGCTGGCCGCGCGACGCGCGTTTATTTTTTATTTTTTCTTCTTTTTTCTCGTCACGCTGCCCTAGGGCCCTGCCCCGCCCGTCGCGTCGCCTTAGGCCCTTCGCGCCGCCCACGGGAGCCAGTCGCGCTGCCCTGCTGGCAGCGCGCGACCCCGCCTGGCCCGTCGCGCACCTGTAGGGCCCGCGAGCCGCCCTTCCCTGCCCGTCGCGGCGCCCCTTTTTGGCAGCGCGCGGCTCGGCGCCCTCGCGCACCCCTACGGCCCTCGTGCCGCGCTCTGACAGCCAATGCGGCCCCGCCCTGCCACTGACGCGGCCCCGCCCTGCTGCTGACGCCCTGTGGGACCCGCGTGCTGCCCTGCACCAGCGACGCCGCCCCTGGAGCAGCCGCCCCTGGACCCAGAGCAGCCGCCCCTGGCCCCTGCAGCAGCCGCCCCTGGTGCAGCCGCCCCCGGACCCAGAGCAGCCGCCCCTGGCCCCTGCAGCAGCCGCCCCTGGACCCAGAGCAGCCGCCCCTGGCCCCTGCAGCAGCCGCCCCTGGTGCAGCCGCCCTTGGACTCCGTGCAGCTGTCGTGCGCCTACCCGGCCGCCGCCCGCCGAGCGCCGGCCCTGACCGCCACTGGTGAGCACCTGCCTTGTTCGCGCACTGTCGCGCCGCCTGCCTGCCTGCCTGCCTGCCTGCCGGCCTGCCTGCCTGCCTGCCTGTCTGCCTGCCTGCCTGCCACGCCTGCCCTGTCAGCGCTGCTACTACTGCTACTGCTACTGCTGCTACTAGGAGGTGGCCAGATGCAGCTCCAGCGACGTTCACGCGAGTCTCTCACGCCCCAGCAGCTTAGTGAGTGGTATACTAGTTGGGGCTGTCGCGGTAGCCGTCGTAGCTGTCGCCCTGGAGCTGGTCAGTTGGGGGCGTCTGGCAGTGGCCAGCTGCAGCTGCAGCGGCGTCCACGCGAGACACTTACGTCCCAGCAGCTCCATGAGTGGTACGCTCAGAGTAGCAGGTCTACGCGTACAGTTCGCTGCCCGTACGTCATTCGCACAGGTGATCGGACTGGTCAGCCTTGCGGGACGCTTGGTCACACACAGTCCCGCTGCTTCGCCCGTCTGAGCGACGCCTGGCGTACCGAGTTTGGCGACGAGGCTGAGCTCCCCACCTGGGTGGAGCTGCTTGGACAGAGGGTAGATATCTTTGCTCTTGACTATGATGCTATTCTCACTGCCATGTATGCATTGCCTACTAGTGTTGACCGTGCCTGTTACCTGTGCGTACCGCCTGACCCTGGTATAGAGCCTGCTGCTCTCGGTACTGGTGAGGCTGCTGCTCTAGGTGCTAGTGCGTCTCCTGCTCTAGGTGCTGGTGAGGCTACTGCTCTAGGTGCTGGTGAGTCTGCTCTCTCTGGTACTGCGCCTGCTGCGGTCTTGCACACCTTCACCCTTGACTCAGGAGCTTCCCGCTCCTTCTTTCGCGACTGCACCACACTCACGCCGCTCAGTCGGCCAGTTCCAGTCTCCCTGGCGGACCCCTCCGGGGGTCCAGTCCTTGCTCACTACTCCACGGTTCTGCCGTGTCCGGCCGCCCCGTCTGGCTCGCTGTCAGGTCTTTACCTCCCCTCGTTCTCTATGAACTTGGTGAGTGGAGCTGACCTCCAGGATCGGGGGGTTGACCAGTTCACTCCTGCGAGTCAGCGAGTGACTCACTGTACGTGTGCTAGGACGGGCCGGCACTTGGCCACGTTCACCCGTGCACCTGGCTCGAGTCTGTATACACTGACCACTGAGTCCCCTCAGGTAGCTGCGTCTGCGTCTACGTCTGGTCAGCTGGCGGCCCCCTGCGAGTGTCGCGCTTTGTCGCACGACACTCTCCTGTGGCACCACCGCCTTGGTCACCCCTCCCTGCCTCGCCTTCGTAGCATGCACTCTCGCTCCCTGGTCTCTGGTCTTCCCAGGTCTCTGCCTGCCCTCCCTCCCTCGCCTGCGCCGCCCTGCATTCCTTGTGTCGAGGGGCGGCAGCGCGCCGCTCCTCACTCCTCCTCGTTCCCTCCCACAGAGGCTCCCCTGCAGACTCTCCACCTGGACGTGTGGGGCCCAGCCCGCGTCCGTGGACAGGGCCACGAGCGGTACTTCCTGCTGGTCGTCGACGACTACACGCGTTACACCACGGTCTTCCCCTTGCAGAGCAAGGGGGACGTCCCTGATGTTTTGATCCCTTGGATCCGCGCTGTTCGTCTCTAGCTTCGCGAGCGGTTTCAGCGGGACTTTCATGTCCTGCGTCTGCACTCTGACAGAGGTGGTGAGTTCACCTCAGACCTCTTGGCAGCCTACTGTGCGGAGCACGGCATCCGCCAGACGTTCACGCTTCCGGCCTCTCCGCAGCAGAATGGGGTTGCTGAGCGCCGCATTGGCTTAGTCATGGAGGTCGCTCGTACCTCCATGATCCATGCGGCTGCCCCCCATTTTCTGTGGCCGTTTGCGGTCCGGTACGCCGCGCATCAGCTCAACCTCTGGCCCCGTGTCTCCTTGCCGGAGACCTCGCCCACACTGCTGTGGACGGGGAAGGTTGGCGATGCGTCGCGTTTCCGAGTCTGGGGTGCTCGTGCCTTTGTCCGCGATACCACCGCGGACAAGCTCTCCGCCCGCGCTGTTCCCTGTGTCTTCCTTGGCTTTGTCCCTGACGCGCCTGGTTGGCAGTTTTACCACCCCACCTCGCGCCGTGTCTTTGCGTCTCAGGACGTCACGTTCGACGAGTCGGTTCCCTTTTACCGTCTCTTCCCCTACCGCACTGCCCCGCTCCCCCCCCCCCCGCCGCTCTTCCTCGCTCCAGGTGCTCCCCAGGTAGACCCCCTCCCCGCTCCCGGTCCTGCTCCTTCAGGTGTGTCTCAGGTAGACCCTCCTCCCTTGACTGCGCCGGTTGAGGTCACTGGTGACTCAGGTCCTACTGAGGGTGGTCCTGCTCGGGGTGCTACTTCTGGGGGTGCTGAGCCTGGGGGTGCGGAGCCTGGGGGTGCTGAGCCTAGGGGTACTGAGCCTGGGGGTGCGGAGCTTGAGGGTGTGGAGCCTGGAGGTGCTGAGCCTGAGTGTGAGGGGTCTGGGGGTGCTGCACCTGGGGTTGCTGAGGCGTCTGGTGAGCAGTCTCCCTGGAGCGGCCGTCTCCGTAGTCGCTCCGCTGGTGCCTCGCCGCTGCCCTCTCGTCGTCGACTCCCCCTCTCCTCCCTGCAGCTGGTTGAGTGGTACCTTGGCCGTCAGGGTCGCGCTGCTGGAGCTGGTGACTCTGCTCCTGGAGTTGTCTCCGCTGGAGGTTCTGGAGCTGCTGAGGGTACTGACGCTGGGGGTTCTGGAGCTGCTGAGGGTGCTGGCGCTGGAGGTTCTGGAGCTGCTAGAGGGCCTGGTACTGGTGGCGCTAGAGCTGGAGGTTCTGGAGCTGCTGAGGGTACTGACGCTGGAGGTTCTGGAGCTGCTGAGGGTGCTGGCGCTGGAGGTTCTGGAGCTGCTGGAGGTACTGGCGCTGAGGGTGCTGACACCGGAGGTTCTGGAGCAGTTGGGGGTGCTGGCGCTGAGGGTTCTGAGTCTGCTGTTGCGCGGTCTCCTTGGAGTAGCCGCCTTCGTCC